TTAATACATTTGTACAAATGGGAAGAAGTGGATTGGAATTTGAAAGCAAGTCTGATGACAAAGCTAAATTTCTTAATCTCTATGCTATATATTAATAGCAGATATAAGGGTTTTTTAAAAAGTGAGGTATTAGAGAGGTGAATGGCCAACAAGTCAGTAAAGCATGTGACTCTTGATCTTGGGGTTGTGAGTTAAAGCCCCACACTGGGTGTAGAGCTTACTTTAAAAACAAAACAGGGGTACCTCACTTGCTCAGTCGGTTAAGCACCCGACTCTTGATTTCAGCTTGGGTTTTGATCCCAGGGTAGTGAGTTCAGGCCTGCTGAGCTCCATGCTGGGCATGGAGCCTACTTTAAAAAAACAAAACAACCCAACAACAACAAAAAACACTATGTCCTATAAATAAAATCCTCTTTAAAAAGAAACAAAAACAGGAGTGCCTCGGTGACACAGTCAGTTAAGCATCCGCCTTCGGTTCAGGTTGTGATCCACGGTCCTGGGATCAAGCCCTGTGTCAAGCTCCCTGCTCAGCAGTGAGTCTGCTTCTCCCTTTGCCCCTCCCCTTGGCTCATGCATGCTCTCTCTCTCTCTCAAATACAGTCTTTTAAAAAACAAAAACAAACATTTAAAAAAAGTTAGGTACTAGGAGTAGTTGATAGTCAAAGTACTAACACTGAAAAAAAGCACAGATCTGCTGAGAGTAGTTTATCATGCTTTTCTGCATTAGGTTGGAGACGTGGCAGGGTACTGAGAAATATGCTCAACAGAATTTTTTTTTTTTTTATGGATTTGAGAGAGAGAGAGAAAGCACTCACAAGCTCCCGAGCGGGGGCTTGGGGGAGAGGGAGAGAATCTCATGCGGATTCTGCGATGAGTGCAGAGCCCAATGCAGGGAGTGAGACCATGACTCTGAGACGAAACCAAAAGTCAGACTGCTTAACTGACTGAGCCACCCAGGCATCCCTGTTAAACAGGAAGAATTTAAGTTGACTAGAACTGCTTAACCTTAAGCTCAGACCTACGGATACATATATAAATTGGCCCTCTTTGAAAACAAATGCATGCCTTCACTGCCCAAAACATTAAGTCAAAAGTAGCAGCTTCTGAATTATTGCCCTTAACCAAAAAGTTAAAATAATGTAAGCTTAACATACAGATGGCTATACACTTATATAGATACATGGATATACAGGAATTCCTACATAAATGTGTGTACACACACACACACCTCCTTAGTCTGTCAGCTGAGGGCCCTAAAAGCAATGATACTCTAGTAGCAAGGAACATACCTAGACCCTAGATCTTGCTTTCTAATACCATTCTCCAATTAAAAGAATCAAGGCTCCTTAAGAAATGGGTTGATTCCAGGACCGGGGCAAGAAATAACTAAGATGAGCCTGGTGCATCTTCTAATGCCAGAAAGAAAGTGCTTTAACAAAAGCACAAAAAACCCCCACAATAACGGAGGTATATCAAAGGGACACAGGGGGAAAATATCCCTACTGATGTGAATGACTAACTGAAAAAATGGGGGAAAAGAGACAAGTCTCCCATGTACCAGAATTCTCAACACATTTTGTAGACAATCTACCCTCAAGAAGTGGTTTGTAACTAACCCATCTCCTTATGTGTGGGCTGCATATAGGGACTTCATCTCAAAGAATAAAGTATGAAAAAGGGGTAGGGGAAGAGTAACCTCACAGGGAAGAAACTTGACAAATGCTACCTCATCAGCCAGGTGATTAAGGTTCACATCAACAGTATAAGTTACTACTGATGTAAAAACCTAAGGTTTAGCCCATAGGATGTTGGTAGTTTGTATACTAGATAGAATGTGATAAAAATAGCACTTTACCTCTGTGGTCTTCCTCCAAAAAAATATGTAAATCCAGTCTAATGATGAGGAAAACAAGATGAATCCTAATAGAAGGGTATTTTACAAAATATCTGACCAGTACTCCTCGAAACTATCAAGGTCTTCAAAAACAGTCAGTCTGAAAAACTGTCACAGCCAAGAGGAACAACTATTTAGTATAGCACTAATGTAAATATAATGTGGTATCCTAGATGAGATTCTGGAATAGAAAAAGGATGTTAGATAAAAGCTAAGGAGATATGGTTTATTTATAACTAATGTATCATATTAAGGTAAAATATCAGTTAACAGGGCAAACCAGTATGGGATATATGGGAAATGTAGTATCTTCCCAATCAGGCTATAAATCTAAAATTGTTCTAAAACAGGTTTATTTAGAAAACAACAGAGCGGCGCCTGGGTGGCTCAGTCTGTTAAGTGTCTGCCTTCGGCTCAGGTCATGATCCTGGAGTCCTGGGATGGAGCCCCACATAGGGCTCCCTGCTCAGCAGGGAGTCTACTTCTCCCTCTGCCCCTCAACCCACTCTTACACACTCTCAAATAAAATCTTAAGGAAAAAAAAAAAACAACATAGAAAATACTGGTTAATTCAGAGGGATGATATCAACAGGTGATGTAGACAATATGGAAAGTGAGCATTCAATATTAAGAATTCTAAGTTTTGGGGCACCTGGGTGACTCAGTCAGAGGTCTATGTTTGGCTCAGGTCATGATCCTGGGGTCCTGGGATGGAGCCCCACGTGGGGCTCCCTGCTCAGTAGGGAGCCTGCTTCTCCCTCTCCCTCCCACTCCCCACTTACGCTTGCTCTGATCTCAAATCTTAAAAAATTCTAAATTTTGACTACATAAAAAGCATTGTTTTAGCTGATATGTCTTGCCCATATCATGTAAATTTATTCCCAAACTTTACATTTTTTTATCATAAATTTTCTTCTTTTACTGAATGATTGTAGCAAGGAAAGCTATTAGTATTTAAAGAACTACCTTACTGATTGCTCATAATGCTCTAATATGTTTATCTTCTTAGATTTTGCAGATATCCATAAATAACTTTGCCTTCTCCAGTATTTACACTTTGTTGTTCTCCTGCCTATCTCCATCATGTAGAAAGATGTTAAGTAACAGCATTAACTGGCTTCCTTGTCTGGCTCCTGTCTTTAATGGGAATGCTTCTGGCTTTTCCCCACCAATAAGCATGATGCTAGTATGGTTTAAAATATTCATCTATTCCATCTGTTCCACTTACAAAGCATTTTTTAAAAAATCAGAAATGGATCTCTTTTTTAGATTAGATCATTTGGGTTTTTTGGCTTATTACTATGATGAATTATATTAATATTACTATATTGGGGTTTGGGTAAAATGGGTGAGGGGTTGACTGGTAATGGATGGTAACTAGACTTACGGTGGTGATCACCTTGTAGTGTATCAAATTATAAAGCTGTAAACCTGAATTTTAGAAGGCAAATGATAGTTATATACCTGAAACTTCTATATATTTAAAAAAAAAAAATCCAAATAATGAACTATCCCACTTCTTGACAAACCATCCTTGGTCAAGATATTGTTCTTTTAACACATAGTCATAATTTTATTTGTTAAATATAATTTTAGTTTTACATCAATATGTAATGATACTGGGGTACTTTTTGCTCTATTTAGTATCAGTGTTATATTAAATTTAAAAAACAATGGGAAGCTTTTTTTTTAAATTGTGGGTCAATTTAGATAATTACCTATTCTTTATAGAGGTTTAAGGTAATTCATCAGGGTAGCCATCTAGGCCAGGTAGTTTTGACATATAGCTCTTGGCCAGTTTTCTTGATTCTATACGTATGGATTTGTTTCCATTTTTCCTTAGATCAAAAATTATCTCTATTTGCATTTTCTTAATTTACCTCAGCTACTAATTTTTAATTTTTAGCCTTAAAAATGCTCTGAAAAATTGAGTCTTGGTCCCAATTTGTCCCAACCAGTAAGAGTTAAGAAAAAACAGTTTTAAGGATAGGAGAGGATGAAACAAAACTGTCATTCAATTTTTCTACAAAATTTATTAGAATTTGAAAAAGTTGATATATGTATTGACTCTTGTATCTACCAACTCCATTTCTATACGTAGGCAAACAAATCACAGTTTTAAAAGATAACCATTTATAATAGCATTAAAAATGCAGCCACTAGAAATAAGATATGTAGAGAAAACTGATAAAGCTATAAAAGATCTAAGTTAGTGGAGACATCTATCATGTCCATGGATGAAGGACTCAACATTGTAAAGTTGTCAATTCTCCAAGCTATTCTATAGATACAATCCCCATCAAATCCTCTATTACTTATCTGTAGAGTCTGACAAGCTAATTCTAAAATTTTTACATGCAAGTGTTAAAAGCCAAACACCAAGACACCCTTAAATATGAATAGATTTGGGAGATGTGGGATAGGGAGGTAACAGTCTACTAGGCTACAGTACTTAGAATAGCAAGCATAGGGATACACAAGCAGACCAACAGAACATACTGGAGAGCAATTTGGCAGTATCCTATGAGTGAACCAGCACTTCCATTTCTAGGTAACAATTCCTAAAGAAATTCTAGAACAGTGAACCAGGATACACAAAGAAGGTTCAAAACAGGTGAAAGTGGGAAAAGCCCAAATTTATCTATTAATCATTGATTAAATATATTATGGCATGTTAATAAAATGAGAATCAAAGCTGAGAAAAAGAATTCCGTTATATAAACTTCAAATATAGGCAAAACAAAACATTTTTTAGAGATAACAAAAGTAACACTAAAACAAAAAAGATCAGAATAGAATAAGTAGTTTACCCCTTAAGGAGAAAGGGAGATAACGTTCTGGTAGTGGCTTTAAAAAGGAATTGGCATTATTCTACTTATCCTCAGTGGAATCACACAGGTTTTTCCTTTATATTTTTTAGGTTGTACGTACACGTTTTATACATTTATCTACATATTGCACAATTTTCAAAGACTTTTAGAAGTTAAAATATCAACAGCTCAGTCTTTACTTTCAAATGACAATCAATCTTCACTTATTTGCAACATACTAAAGAGAACAGACATCTCTATTTTCACAACTATCAAGTCTAAAGAAGACAACATACCTTATACAGCCCAATGCCAGGATCAATAAGAAAATCACAAGTTGATGTAGATGGCTGACTAGAAGGTCCCACCCTTGGGGTTTTCTTTACTTTAGGTGGGCTATTAGAACAGGGTTTGGCCTGTACATCAATCTGTTTAGATGTGCTAGGAAGATCAGGGTCTGGGCGAACTAGTAGCTGAATTATGTCATTCAGTCCAACATCATAGTCAAATAAAGTATATCCATTTTCCAACTGGAAAAAAAGGATAAAAAAAGATTAAAATGTTTCTCTCAAAACTTGCTCTTTCCACACCTTTAGTCACCCCAAATGTCCTAGCCAAATTATTAAAATTCACAGCAATGCAATTTAGTGATCCTGAAACCATTCCTATTACTTTATGGCCTCTGATGGCAGCAGCATCTCAGGACCTCAATAAATTGTGGAGAATCATTCCATATTAGCTATCAGGAACACAGATAGCCACTGAAACCAAAAATGTATCATTGCTTACATGACTTGAACATGTAGGCAGAAAAACCCTAGGTTTCTCACCAAGTTTTATTTAAATTAACAGTACCTCAATCCACTGCAAGAAAGGTGAATTTTGAAGGTGAGTGGTTTTATGACCTTGTGTTCATTAAAACATTTAAATTAACAATTTTGTGTTTCTGAAGCACTGTAATTTTTTTAAAAAAATCAAGCAGAAAATAATTAAAGCAGGAATTACAAGTCTTGTTCATGCTATTCCACTTGTCTAAAGTTCTCTAATTCTATCCATTTGTAAAGGTTGTCAAGTTGTACCATGAAAAGTCTTCCAGGATGAATAATGAATAAACTATCTTGCAACTTACCCATATTTTGGTAAGGTCTCTGCAATGGATTAAATAGTGACAACCCCTCCTCCCCATTATATTAAAGTCCTAATCCCAAATATCAGCATGTGAGTATCTGGAAATAGGGTCTTTACAGCAGTAATCAAGTTAAAATTAGGTCAAATTGGGTGGGCCCTAAACCACTATTTGACATCCTTGTGAAAGGTGTAAATTTGGACCACAGAAGATGTGAACGCAGCCAGGTGACTAGAGCAATGTATCTACAAACGAAGGAATTTACAAAGGATTGCTAGCAACACTAGAAGCTGAAGGAAATAAGGAAGGATTCTCTATTAGAACCATCAGAGAGAACATGGCCCTGCTAATACTTTTAATTCAGACTCACAGCCTCTGGAAACAGGAGACAATAAATTTCTAATGTTTTAAGCCACCTAGGTTTTGGTGGCTTTGTTACAGAAACCCTTGAAAACTAAGTCTCCATTTTGTTTCTTTAAAAAATTCAGTTGGCCATTTTACCATGATACAGTAAGAAAACCAAACTCCATGAAAATCAAAACTATCATTTCCCCAGAAACATTATCAGTTTAATCACTGTTCATTTTTCCCCCCTTTGTATATAATACCCATCCTCATTCTCAATTCCCTAACACAGGTAGACCGTATTTCCAAAGTCCACCAAAGGGAAGAATGAGTTTGTCCTTAAATGATAAACTAATATGCTAAATAATTTTAATTCAGGTGGTCCCAAAACACATCTAGCAAAATCCTACACATTATATTCACAATTTTAACTACAATAAGGGATCAAACAATTCACAAATTTCCCATAGGGAAATTAAACAATATCTCACAGGTTGGTTTACATGCTTATTCCAAATAAGCCTAAGGAGTTTCCCAAATCAATAAGCAGGTAAGCCATTACAGGGATTAGAGATTAATATTGCTTACCTTATTAAAAAAACAAAACAAAAGCACAACTCCCACCTAATCCTCAACTCCTGGAGAAAAATTCAAGAACCCCCCCCCCAAAAACCTATACATTCACATCTTTATTTTGACATTCTCCAATACCCCTTTCCCCCAAAAAAGGTAAGCCCATACTAGTTCTGGAACTGTTGAAAAAGTACAACTTGATTATAAACATGCAACTGTTGCACATTATGAGTGTCTAAATGGAAGATAAAAACAAACTCTTAACAGTATAGAACATGCAAAACAAAAAGCCCAGTAATACAATATGCAAATTAACTGAAAGGACATTTCCCAAAATGAAGAAAGCTGTTTCAGTGGTAAAATAATTGGAAATTCAAAGTGCTTCCATAATTTCCCTTTAAAATCTGAGGCACAAGAGTCAGAGGCACAGCGGGGACATTCTTATACTCAATCCCTCTAACAAGTTTCTACTAAGTGATTGGTCAAAATAATATAAGCTGCTTCAAATGGTATTTGGTTTGAAAGGAAGAGCAATGTCTTAAATTAGGAAAACACTAAGCATACCAAGGCATGAGGCCCTATTGTAGAAGTTAGGCCCACATTAACATGTAACTTTTCCTTCAATTATTCATGCTTGCTAGGACAGCCACTTTTACCCAGATTATCTACTTCTTCCCTAATTCATAGGTATTCTTCCAGTTTTCCTAAAATAGTGATTACTATCCATTGCATAATAACTTCCACACAGCTAGGCTTTTGTGAAGAATGCTGGAATGAACTGTTACTTGAAAAGTAGTGAAGTTCACCCAAATTTAACGACAGTACAGACTGGAAGTTATTGTCACTTATGTTGTACCTCAAGTGGAGAAGGGATTGAGTCACTTAGAAATCACAAACACCCATGAGTTTCAGGCATGTAACTATGGTCCATCGATGTCTCACAGCTGAAAATGTTTGGGAACTGCCGTCCTAGAAGATGGGAGCACAGTATTTAAAATACTAGAGGGGCAAGAATGGCCTTAGAGTGTTTGTTTTTTGCCAGGCTTCAGTCCTGCATCTGTATTGGGTTGAAGAAAGAGATTCCAGGTAATAGCAAGAATTGCAACAGTGATGCAAAGTAAAACTAGGAAGCAAACACCAACTGGCAATGACTGAGAAGGCAGTGAGAGAAGTCATTCCCAAGGAGTTACTGATAACTTAATGCCCTCGACCTGCATCCCTTAACAATTTTCATGTATCTTTCACGTCATCTATATAATATAGATATGACACACACATTCTCTCTCCCCTTTAAATAGGCAAATGCTTTTACTTTGTGTTCCGTGTAAAAATAAAGAGTCCAGGGCCAAAAGGGTACTACTAAGTTTTCCTTCAGCTCTGGTTCATGTCCCACCTACAGTGGTATAAACAAAAGAATGAGAGGAAGTGACAGAATCCTTTCAAAGTAGAAAAACCTCTGGATTCTCAAAATATTTAGAGATCCATCAACATAACTCTTCCTTAAAGACCTAATCCCCAGGATGCAGGCTCAACCTCCCAGAGTAATATCCAAGTAAGGTTACCCTACTCTAACCAGAACTTCTATAGCCCTGAATTGCTGCCCTCTATTTGGACCCTCAAAAGTGGAGTCAATTACACAATTACTCCACTTTTCAAATTTAATTCGCTGAGATCACCTGAGGACTTCGTTAAAAATACAGATTCTACTTCAATAGGCGTGAGGCTCCCAGGTGAAGCTAATGCTGCAGGTCCTGCTGATTCAGGGACCATACTTTGAATAGTAAGAAATTAGGAGATTGACATTCTTCAATATCCATTTTCAAACTCTGGTGGCCATGAGAATCTCCCATGGGGTCTTGTTAAATTCAACCACTTGCAATTCTGGGGTTAGCTGAGCACCTATAATAAATATCCACAAGTGTGGATATTTCTTTCTTGCCTATACCTTACCAAAGACTAAAAGCAGCAAACCTAACATAAAAGGGGTGGGGAATAAGGAGGAAAGGGTACCATTTACATCACAGACACTGTAAATTTGTTTTTATTTATGACATTTTTCACTACACAGCAGTAAAAGGGTGCTTTTCAAATAAGCACAAAGGCATTTTATAGGCTAGGGGCAGCCCTGTGATGCCAATCCAGTAGTTGTCGGTTATAGATCTACTACTCTGTCCATGGACTGTGAACTCCAAAGAGTAAGAGAGAATGGAGGGAATAATCACTGCCATGGCTACTCCTCAGCTCACAAAGAAGTATACACAGCTGAAGCAGTGTCTTCCTTCTGTCTTCAACTCAATGGGGCACCAAAGGTCCATTTTTCAACCCTACTGGTTTATCACTGAGCTGAAGAAATCAAAGTAGTGAGTTATCAACTCTCCTGGGGGAAGAGGTACAAAAGGGTAATTATCCTCAACAGGTTTTCCCTAAACCCGGAATGAGTTTCCTGGTTTTCTGGAAGTCTACTTTGTTGACCTGAATTTAACTCAATTTCTACTTTTTCCTCAAGACAGCCAGGTGCCATGTTTTCTTTTAGTATATTTGATCATTAGATTTTAGGAGTGTTTCCCAGGTACACATTCTCATGCTTCATTTCTATCTCTTGTGAAGTCACCAAAGTATCGCAGCAATTCATGTACTCTTATATCCCTAGCTAAAAAATAGTAAATAGTATCTTTTGACCAAAAGATAAAAAGGTATCAGTCATTAGAGGTATAGCAATATAAATTTAGGTAGTGTTTAACACATATGATTTCAAAAGCAAAGTATACAGTACAATTGAACACCTGTTTTTACAAGTCAAACAGTAAAGGATCAATATAAAACAGCTTCAAACACCTATCAAAGATGCTATCACTTATTTAAAAACAAGTTAAAATAAACCCTGGCTCTTTCTCTCTCAGAGTATAATCTCTGGCAGCAAAGTAAAATTGACTCCACTTTTGAGGGTCCAAATAGAGGGCAGCAAAGTAAAATTTCTGGGCAGTTTTTGAAGCTAAGCCTATGAAGGGAAGAAAAATACTCCTTTCAAATCCTTTGTGGCTATAGGAAAACGCTACTTCCACCAAATCAAAGAGCTACATTTACTCCAAACCACAGAACTGAAGCCAAACTGTGGTCTATCCAACTGGAGAATGCCACCTTTTGGGGGGGGGGGGGGCGTAGAGACAAAATTGGGTAGGCTTGGGTCTCTAGGTATAGATTTCTCGGGTAAGAAAAATCTTCAATAGGTCAGAGCATGGCCATACCATACAACTACCAGAGACACCCACAGACACCCTCACTGCCAAACCACTTTCAGCCTTCAAGTATGTAACGCTGGCTATGCTCCAGTTGCTGTTTTAAAAGCTTGTGTGAGGGGGACTACATCAGAAGGTGAGAAGCAAAAAGAGCAAAACAGTGTTTCATACTCCTTTCCATTCTGGGAATATCCCCCTTTCTTGCCTATACCTGGGAGTTTAAACCCGATTCCGAATTCCATCAATAGCTCGTTCCTTCAGCCCAAGTCTCTAATCTTCAAGACAGATTCCAATTCTAGAAGAGGAGCCAGAAGTTTTGTAAACCCTTCGAATCTTCAGTGTGTTCAAATCCCTTCACAGTGAAAAGTCAGCCTAGGGTTCTTGAGCCTAAGAGGAAGCGAGTTCTAAGTTTCCCTCCTCCTATTTGGGAGGCGGGAGCGCAGAGGAGCCACAGAAGCAATGCGAGCCGTTAGCCGGGTCAGCGGGGCCGGGAGCCGGAGCCGTCGGCCCTCCCCACTAGCACTCTGGCATGGCCGCCAGAGCCTGCTGCCCTCCCCGCCTCCAGGGGCGCCGACCCCGCAGAGCGCGGGAAGCTAGGGAACCCAGGCGCTCCGGCGGGCTGTGCCAGAGGCTACTGACCGGCTGAGAAAGGGGGGTGAGGTCTCTGCGCTCTGGGTGCCTCCGCCTCTGACCCTGCCAGGCGCACCTGCACTTTAGGGCTCGTAGGGACCCCGCTGCGCCCCCTCGGCGGGGCCTGGGCCTGCACTCTGAGCCTCGCGGGCTGCCCACCCGAAGTGGAGCCAGGTGCTCTCTCTGCGCGCGGCGCACCAAGCTCTCGGGCCCGCCCAACCTACGCGTTCTGGCGGCGCCCTGCAGCCTTCTCCCCGGGCTTCCCGAGAGGTGCCGTGGGCTCGCCTCACCTGCTTGCCCCGGTAGAAGAGGCGCTGGCACTCGGGCCGCACGTCGAACAGCGCCCACACCCGCTCGCGCAGCTCCTCAATTGTGGCTTTGCGAGACACGTCCTCAATGGTGCGCGTCTGGGAGCCGTCGATGGTGCGAACCTGAATCCACATCTTGGCGCCGGGAGAGGGGGCTGGCCCGGCTTTGTCTCCCCCTGCGTTCCGGACGCCGCGCCCCGCCCGGCCCGCTTCCCCAGCGGCTCCGGCTCTCCGCGGGCGGCGGGCGAGCGCGCACACAAATGAGGGAAACCGACCAGACGCCGGGACCCCACAAGCGGCGGCGACTCCGAACTCGCACGCCTGCCCAGCTGGGCTGAGAAGAAAAGGAAACCGGAACCAGTCGCAGGGGCCGCCACTACCGCAGACCCCCACCTCACAAGTAGGAAGAAGCCTTGTCTGCGCCGCGCGGAGTGTTTACTTATAGAGCTCTAGCTCCCACATGGAGGTCACGGCGCCAACCCGGATCTCGCGAGATCGACGGCCGGCTCCGCCTTAAAGAGGAAGCAGCGGGGGTGGGGAGGCGCGGAGGAGAAGGCTACAGACCCGAGAGAACTAAAATGGGCGGGGTGGAGGGGCGGGGCTGCGGAGAGCCGTTACTTGCCGCTTCTACTGCACCTGGGCCCTGGAAACGCCCTCTAGTCTTCGGGTTTCGCGCGGTTACAAAGCCCACCGCACGGGTTCCCGTTTTAGTCTTAGTTTTGGGACCCAGGGGGCTAACGACTCCTCAGGCCTAAGCGGTTACGGTTTCTGTGGTCTCAAAAACACATCCAAAAAAAGCAACTCTGACGTGCGCTTGTATGATCATGAAAATGCGGGTGCGGGCGGGCGCGGCCTAAATTTCTGAGAAAGCACATAAGGAAGTGAGCCTGCTCCACCGCGCCCAGCCGAACACGGCCCGCCCCGCGGCGTGGCGGGGCCCGCTGCCCGGGAGAGGACCCAGGACCCTTCTGCCTCGCGAACTTCCTACTGGGCCCGAATTTGCCGCCGGGCCCGAATGCTGTCTTCGCGCGGAAACCTGCTTCCTGTGGTTTCCCGCGGCTGGGTCAAGGTGGAGGCTTCAGGTCGCAGGCCGCTGGTCCCGCTGGTATCGCCCTCTCTGATCCAACGCGCTCAGGCCTGGACCTTTGGCCACAGAGGTTTTGGTGTTGCCACCTGGAGCGCCGCTCGCCAGAATCGGACGTTTCTGACTGTGGACCTTCCTTGTCAGTGCGCCTTTGTCCTAAGGGATTGAAGGGTCATGGAAAACACTTATAAAGGATGCAGAACTACACAACTCAGAAGAAAAAACTCCGAAGATCCTACCAGGAATAAATTCTCAGAAATAGGCCCAATGGGTTTATTTAAAATGAAAATGTCTTCATAAGAAGGAAGAGAACATATGAAAGTAGAGCTATATAGAGGGACATAGCTATAAAATAATATATATAACAAAATTTGGACTTTATATTTGCCATAATCCATAACTTGACTATTCAGACTGGTGCTAATTATTACCATAAAGGTAGAGCAGCAATTTTGTAATAACCGATTCAAATAATTACAAGTCTGGCGAAGTCCAGAAGTAACATAAAAAAAAAGGATGGTCCAACATGGAAGAGACAGAAAAAATGGAATATTTCCACATATTTTGGGTCTCTGCTCTTCCTGAAAATTTTACATTCACTTATATTTTCTAAATATAATTCATCTTATCTGCTCCTGATTTAAGTACAGCAAATATTGAATATTCATTACATGTGTGAATGAGATGATGGAGATATGTAAAGCACGCTTCTAACCTGCCCCAGTAAGGAATAGCTATTTGCTATTATAAGAACGTGCTATTATACCCTTGTGAAGACATGTTAAGAGTTTCTTTAATTCTCTGCATACAGAGAATTTACAACCTAGTTCAGGTAAGATTTAGAAAAGATGAAAGCACTAAAGAATTGTTTAGTACTAAGGAGTTTGTTGTCAGTTTAAACAGTAATTAGCAATGAAAGAAGGGGGACTGGAATGATCTGGAAGGGTAAGGATAGGGGTACAACTTGACCTAAGTTAGATGGTATATTGTAATGGGGGCAGCATTTAAATGTTCAACTCATAGATGAGATAGATCTGGATTATAATCCCAGTTTTGATGTTTACTTCAAATATGATCTTGGACCAATTATTTGTTTTAATTTCCTCAATGTAAAATGGTGTTTATAACATTTAATGAATGTATAGTGTTTAGCATAGCACCCATCCCTTGGTAGGACACAATAAATTATTTTTGTGGATTTAGATAAGCAGAGAATGCCTAAAGAGAAGAGAATGCTTACACACAGAAAGTTTGCATTTTTACAGGTCAGAAGAGATTGTGTATCAGAGAAAGGTTTACTAGATAGAGAAGAGCAGAGTGTCAAGATTAGCATTCAAAGCAGTAGGTTTTGCAGGCCCCAGGGAGAAACTAAAATTTTAAGGAGTCCACTGATGCATTAAATATACATTTGGACAGATAACAGAAGGAATTTTTTTTTTAAAGATTTTATTTATTTATTTGAGACAGAGAGAATGAGAGAGAGAGAGCACATGAGAGGGGGGAGGGTCGGAGGGAGAAGCAGGCTCCCTGCCGAGCAGGGAGCCCGATGCGGGACTCGATCCAGGGACTCCAGGATCATGACCTGAGCCGAAGGCAGTCGCTTAACCAACTGAGCCACCCAGGCGCCCAACAGAAGGAATTTTTAAGGATGCCTTAGGGAAAAACTAAGGGACCAATCAGAAAGTTTAGTGAAGAAGCAATTGTGTCAATTTCAGTGAAATTTTGTGGCAGTAGATAAGAGAAGAAAGAGCAGATTCCAGAATATTCTAGAAAATCAAGCCTACCAGACTTGTAAGATGTGTGAATATGAGGGATGTGGAAATGTGAAATGCTGGGACTAATTCCTTGGTTTCTAGTTTGGGAGAAAAATGGATGCTCTTAACTGAACTAGATGGAGATGTATAACTGACCATTGGAAATATAAGTCCAAAGTTTTGAAGGGAAGTAGAAAAGTTCTGAAAGAGGAACTAGTCAAGACTTTCTGTACTCACCCCCATGAGGGGATTTATCCTTGTTAATGTGGTGGAGAACTTTTGGGGGGAAAGCTGTCAAAATTGGTATCTACTTGGACTGTATAGGATTTGTGTTAATCCAATCAATATAGATCCCAAAGGATTGGTAGGACAGGATTTAGAGGTGTGAGACCCAGAAAAGATGTATTTGTCCTGTGTAGACCAAATTAATTACCTCTTGAAACATAAGCTTGTGTGTGTAGTAAGTTACTTAGGATATAAATAAGTAATTGCAAATAGTGATTCTATATATAACAAAATACACCCTTCTGTGTTTCTCCACACAGTACATATTGTAACTAAGGTTTCCCCTCTTTCCCTACATGCCTTTGCCTACTTAGAAAGTTGCCCAGTTGAAAAAGCAAGATAGAAGTTCTCTGACAAAAAACAAAATATCAGACAGTTCTGACATAACATGCTTCATTATCACATGAGTAGCTGAAACAACTTGGATGTGAACAGGCAAAGAAAAGAGGAATTATTTATGTAGCTAAAAAGCAAATACTAAAATTTATGCCATCAGTCATGACTCAAAATTTGTTCAAGTCAAAACAGGCAAAACAGAAAACGATTGATTTTTGAGCTAATTATTCTAGACTCCTCACACCACAGAATATCTCCAGTTTTCTCACCTAATGTCCCATAGTCAACAACTTTCATGTATATTAAAAAAGAGAATTTCAATTTGCTCTCTGAAGCTACGATTATCACCTTTTCATCAGCATTTCTATGTTGGTGGTCTTCCTTTTTCTCCACTAGAGCCACTCTACCTGCTTGCTGTCCTGGAGTCCAAGGGCAAGGAATACATCAATGGAATCAGTGCTCTCAGGCTTCTAGTTGAGTCTGGCCACTGGGAAGGAAGCACAAATAGAAAACTAAAAGAATGAGGTCAGTATATTTATTCCACTGGCTTTCCCCCTGAAAGTTCATCTCTAGCTATCTGTTGCCTTCCTGGGAAGTCACTACTCCTCTAGAGTAGCCGCCTACTCTATGTGACCTTTTGTTTCTCTTGTTGCTTTGGGTCTACAGATTGTTAACAGTTCTACAGTCCTAGATCCATGCATATTCCTTCAGTTTTCTGTATCATGGCCCATACCCTTTCATTTGGTCCCTTGCAAGTGTATGTGTGTGTAGTGGGGGGGTGTCATTAAAGTACCTTAACTGAAGGAGAACTACATGTTATGAGAAGTGAACTAAAATTTCCATTGACAAAAAAATATATTGTGGCTCATTACTTAAATTAGCTATATTTTGAAGGGTATGCTCCTTTTTAATAGAATCACAGATTCTTACTGTGGACATCTGCTTTAGAGATCATTCCTGGCTATCTTCTCTTTAACAAATAAGAAAATGATTTGGATAAGGATGTGTAATCAATGAATAACAGTGTTAGAGCTTAGACTCCTGTGTCCTTCCTCTTTAGACAATGTTCTTTGCCTTTCAGCTGTCCCTCTTTTGTTTCTCTCAAGGCTTCTCCATTCACTTTGTCTAGAGAATAATCCTTGTCCTTCCTGCAATGAGTGCCTCTCACTGGTTCTTTGATGGCTCAGATAGAAGTGGGGACCTGGGATTCTCACTAAAGACTTACAGTTTATCCATGTTTTCAGTCACATGCTTTCTCCTACCTTCTAAAAAAAATTTTTTTAAAGATGTTATTTTTAAGTAATCTCTACACCCAACATGGGGCTCAAACTCACAACGCTGAGATCAAGAATCGCATGCTCTACCAACTGAGCCAGCCAGGTACTCCTCCTCTCTTCGAGAACTGGTCCTCCTCTCTGAGGGTCTTTGGATCAATTCAGCTCAGATTTCCCCCACTGGAGGCAGGTAAGGCTCTATTTTCTAGTGATGGGGTCAATTCTAGTTACAACTTGCTCTATGAAACAAACGTTAGAGGTTTAAAATAACAACAGTGCCTTTACTGTTTTTCACATTTTCTGTAGCACAGGAGTTCTAAATTGACTCAGTTGGAAAGCCTGAGTTCTGGCTCAGAATTTATTATGCTATTGTAATCAGATGGAGCTAAAACTGGAAGAATGGAGACAAGAGCAATTGGGAACTATCTAGGCATGTCACCCTTGGAAGTTTCAGGACTTCTCCACGGACTTCTCTATGTGGGCTAGTTTGGGCTTTCTCACAGCATGGCTGCCTCAGAGTAGTCAGGCTCCTTAACATGGTAATTAAAGACTTTAAGGGTGAGAATGCCAGTGAGCAAAGTATAAGCTGCATCACCTTTATGGCTTTGTTTGAAAGTCCTATAGCATCACCTGTACCATACTCTTTTGACCAAAACATTTATAAAAGCCCATTCAGTTTCAGGAGGAGGGGATACATACCCCACCTCTTGATGGGAGGGGTGTCAAAAGTCATATT